GGGGGGGGGGGGGGGGGGGGTTTCCAACAAACTAAAAATGGCTTGCGCACGAAATTTAAAAACTTTAATAGTATTTTGAGTTAATGGATGGACATTTGGTGGGTTTTTAATTACTGTACAAAATTTCAGACAATTTGCTTTATTAATTAGCCTTTACCTAATTTGCATATTGCTGACATAAGCAAATTAGGCAAACGCATTAATTAAGCATGCAAAAGGCTGATTTTTTAGGAAAAAGATGTACGTTTGCGTGAATATATTAGTTAAAGGACTTAAACTAAAGCAAATTTGCTGAAATTTCGTGCAGAAATTAAACACACAACACATTTTTAACCCATAAACTCCAAATACGATTAAAACTTTTAGATCTCGTGCGCAAGCCATTTTTAGTTTGTTGGAAAGAACACACTCCCCTGGCTTACAAAATTTGAGTTAGAGAAATTTTTTCATTATTCTACATTATAAGTGCCCAAAGAAACTATATATATAAAAAACTGGATACTAATAGCTTTTTTGCGAAATTGAGAGCAATTTCAAATCTGTTCAGTTTTTTATATACACCCTGTATATTAGTGCTGCCGCGGTCTTGTCAATTACTTGAGAAGCACGTTGCCACTACTCTTATGGATTATCATGGGGGAAACAATTTGCCATATATATAATCTACAATCGACGTTTGGCAAGGGCCATTCAAATAGTCAGCCTTGATCAAGCGTATACTGCGCATTACAAAGAAACTTCGTGCTGATGCAACGTCTAATCTGGGGATCAAAATCGACAATACTGAAATCGCTCGAGTAACCTCTCACAAACTTCTAGGTATAACTCTTGATAGTAATATGACTTTCGAAATGCATATTGATGAACATTTGAAAAAGCTGTCCAAACGATTGGGTCTACTAAGGCATATAAGCCCCTTCCTTCGGGCAGGAAAAAATTTTCAAAACAAAAAAAAATAAGCCAAAAATACAGCAAAGGGCTAACTGCTGTGGTTAAAGAACTTTCTCAATAAGATTTTGTTGGCGTAAGTCAACAATACAAGGCAAATTTTACAATGGTTCTAACTATTAAACCAAACAAGAAAATTTTGTTTTGAACATGCAAAGATTTTTGACGTAGATCAAGAGGAGGAAAATGACAAATTGCTTGTGATGGCAGTTTCTACGAGTCATGAAGACGGCAAGTGGTATTTTTATACATGTTAATATATTTTGTACATATTTTATTACATGCACGCCTTACACCCCAGCGCAACGCGGCTGTAATTAATGACTCGAGATTATTTTTATAAAAGTTAATTACTGACTCGAGATTATTTTTATAAAAGTTATAAGACATAATCTTATCCGAAATAAGAAATAGTAAGACCAAATTAAAGACAGCTATAAATTCTCTATTTTGATAAAAATTGTCGGAATTATGTCATTTTTCCCACCACGTAAATGATGACGTCATCAAAAAGTCAATAACTCTTTAATTATTCAGTTTTGGGCATGGGTCTTCTAGTATTTTTTTATCAGTGTTTGACGCTTTTTTGCTTGATGTAATTGATTTTTAATTTTGAAAATTAAATGCTACCATCATACGAAATTCAAATCAAGTGAAAAAGTTTCGGTTACTCGATCCGACAAGGTATGAAAAAATTATATTAAACGTTACGACGTAATGATGTGGAATTCAGCTTCGGTTCATAACAAAAATGAAAGGCATGATAATTCTTCATATCATGCTCAACGTCGTTCAACAATTGTTATATAATAAACACTATGACGTCAATTCCAATGACAACTGCCCAATGAGCGAGGAATTATGTCATAACACAAATGGTTTCCGCTGTATGATTATCAAGACCTGATAATTCTTCTTATGATGTTCAACCTCATTCAAAAATCGTTACATCTGTAATGCTAGTATGTTGTACAGTCGCGTTTCATTGCTAGACTTTACTGTTGGTGCCGCGACCCGAAAAATAAAGGAACTTATTGCCACAGCGATAAGAGTTTTTATTGCTTCCCGGAATAATTTATAATTGAAATTAATTATGCAAAATAAGTTATTTGCGCGCGCAAGTTCATTTAAGTATAGTCACGTGCTTGGAAATTTCGGTATTTATCAGTGGTGAAGCGGGCCATCTTTCCTTTCCTATTCCACGAGGGCTGTAGTTTACATCAAGAAATTGGATGGAAGAGATTTACCCACCCTCCTCCCCGTTGTTGGACGCTATATGTTGAACTTATATAGATACATTATGTGTAGTGGGCGTTAGTAATACCTTACCCCACCTTTTCTGTGCTAAATGTTATATAGTTATTAATTAATAATTTTTCTTGTTAATTATTAAAAATTGATTAAAACAATAAAGCGGCTATGTGCTAACAACCGGGCACATAAGCCATAATTATGCCATAAAGGCTTCGACTGGTCTTGTAGTATTCGGCAGCACAGAAAACTGAGCTCAACCTGACAAACAGTTTGCCGATGGTGGTTTAATATATGCAGGGAAGCGATAAAAGCATAACAACCATTTAAATTCGAATCACAATTGACAAGTGTGTTATGAGGCAAACACGTGCGAGAATGGCTGACCTAAAACGCTTATCATTATAAAAGCAGCTTCGAAATGTTCAACGTTTCTTCTATTAAATAGCATTTAAGTTGCTTGTGTAGATACATTTATACACAAACAATAAAAGCAAACCTTTCAGTGATATGCCTTCGAATATCTCTATATGGTAAATCCTGCCAACCCCACCATTTCCAATTTGTGGTACCAACGGATTCTTCGCAATTTACATCCTCAAATGGCTTTGATTCTCCCCGCAGAAAATGCAACAAAGGCAAAGCAGGTAGCCAGTTAACAACAAGAGATGTCTTTGATGACTGTTGATAAAACTCAAGGATTATCTTGTTCAAGGAACTACATATAAAAGAGATATGAGCGAATAAATGTGGCACGTCAAATAAATTAAATTGCAGACATATTTTATTTTTTTAATTTTACTGAAACTGGGAATCAACTTTTAATGTCTCTAACCCCAAGTATAACCTTATATAACCCTAACAATCCTAGCCCTAAATCTTGTGACGTCATTAAGTAAATTCCAGAAGATTATCCCCGAGCCAACAGCGAGTGCCGTTCCGTGCGTAAGCCCGGGGCGAGGGTACCAATTCAGGGAAGTCTAAAGTTCATCAATAATCGTGGGCGCATGGCTATGGTTCACCGTTTACCGTTCGTTGGTGGTCATCCTCACTGATCTCAAAATATAGCTGACTGTCATGAATAGTGAACCAGCTGATTGGTCAAATTTAAAATTTGCATTGGAACGACTGCATGACGACAACGAAATAACAACATTTCTTGCAAATATATTTTATTTTTGGAAGATCGATTTTGTAAATTTCAAAAGCTGTTTTGAGAAGAAAACAGCCAATAGGCTTACTAAAAGGAAAGAGCAAAGACGCCGACGTTAATGAAGGCAAGTTTGTTTTAAATATTGATGTATTGTTTGCTTTATAATTGCTTCAACTGATCGTTGCGTGTAATGAGAAAAGACAGCATGTAATTTGAGTGTATATTTCTTGATTACCCTTTTATGTTATATTCAAAGAGGAAAGCAAAGTTATTTGCATGCGAGAATTTGAAATAATTTTATTTCAAACTCAAAGTTTATCGATAAAAGGCAGTTTATAGTTTTTAGAACATTTTAAAACGTCTTGCAAAGGGTTTGTTGTTGAATTTTACATTAAATTGAAGCTTATATTACGTACAGTAACGTATATTAACATAGGTAACATATATATGTTTGGGAAATTAATAATTTTGCAATAAAAATTGATATTTTATGGGGATTTTTCAATTTTAAAAGTGTTCTTAATAAAATTATCGTGTTACCATGACAATTACTTTAAAAACTTCATGTTCGGAAAATGTAATGGTTTTGTCAGCAAGGCGAGGGTTTCTGCATGCATGTATTTTCTAGTACATGTATTATCCCAGAGCTAACGGCGCTGAGCGCCGTTCCGGGCGTAGCAGGGTACTAATTCCGCACAGCTATTTTCCCCTTGGAAAAGGAAAGCATTAGCGAAGTCTAAAGTTCATCAATAATCGTGGGCGCATGGCTATGGGTCACCGTTCACCGTTTGTTGGTGGTCATCATCACTGATCTCAAAAATATGGTGGACTGTCATGAATAGCGAACATGGATTGGTCAAATTTAAAATTTGTAGTGGTAGGTACCTTAAAATTTTGTCATCAAACTCATTAATACTCTTCGCAAATTCGGAACATACTTCCTCGTCTGGAGGTATCCTTAGAGACTTCAATAAAATGTCATACTGCTCAGCTTTCAAATTAACATGATTCAAAGTAAACACGTAAGCTATTATTACTGATGAAATCACCGCATGAACTCTAACTCTCCCAACGTTTGTGTCACTTTCCAAAACCTCCAAATTTTTCATCACTTTCGGCATCAAAATCTGCTCAATACACTACAAGCAAGAAACACAATGTAATTGTCATCTTAATTCTTTAACAAATTCCCAGGGAATATACAATCGGCTAAAATCATCCAGACATCATCACGCGTGCAACAAAAATTTTTTTATCCCTTAGGTTCACGACGTTCAATTGACATTCTCCAAAGCATATAATGCGATTCAAATATAGCCAGGCGCCCTTACCAATTTGAAGAGCGTGACTCTCAAACAACATTTTAAATGTCTCTATACATATACTATACTCATTATTAAATACAACATGCGTAAATTATATATACTTAATGTTTGCAAGAATTGAAAAGGAAACAACGGCAGATTATTGCAAGGACTGACAATGATAAATAAACGAAGTATCAAAAAATTTAAAATGTGCTGGTAAAATTTTACTTGTTATCCAAATTATAGGAAAGATCTATCACGACACCGATTGATTGCTATTTTATCTGTTTGGCGATGGAGATATATTTATGAAAAGAAACACGATGAATGTACACAAATATATGTGATAGTGTCCGGACGATTTTGCCCCTATGTGAGTAATAATAAAGGGTTATTGACCGAGCGTGAGGTCTGTACTATGAAATATCAGATTGAGGTTTTTTAGTATCGACCGAGCGACGAAGGAGCGAGGTCCATGCAAAAAACAGAGGTCTGATATTTCACAGTACAGACCGAACAAGCGAGGTCAATAATCGGATTATTATATGGCTGAACTGAGTCTGTGAGCATATGCTTTTCGCGTTATCGTCAGTTTCAATGGGTAACAATATACGGTAGGCATGCATGCTCAATCAAAAATAATCTGGTTGTTTGAAATTTTTATCTGTAAATTTTAATGACACACAATTGGAAAATTAAAAAGAAACATTTTTTTTGTTTGCAAAGCAAAAATTTCCCGCTAGATAAACGACATCCTGGACACCGGTCCAGATACGGAAAATACGGACCACGGTCTGGATATTGTTTTTACGGACCGCGCTTTTCAACCAATCTGAATAGAGAATTTTGAAAAACCATATAATAATACACTTTAGTTAACTTTTTTAATTCCCTATATTACAGAGTGTATCAAAAAAGGTAATCCAATTTTGGCAGTTTTGCGCGCGTTAGACAATGAGTTCATCGATAAAATGTTTACACAGCAGCAAGATTCAGCCGTTATTTTAGCTGTCCAATGATACCTTTTGTACCTGCACAGGAGATACAGTGTGGGGATGCGAGTTGTTATAGTGGAGTTTATTCTTGCCTGTTAAGTTTCTAGTCAATTGGATAGTAATAATGTTAGTTCATGGCAGTTGCAGGGTATTGTAGATGGAAATTATTCAGTGGAAATGTATATACATTTATTAGACTTAACCAGGAACAGCTGCGAAAAATGCAACTACAGGTCTCTGGCAGGAATCGAACCTGTGGCCCTGCGATTCCGGTGCAGCGCTCTAACCAACTGAGCTACACACAGAGGCCAGTTGTCGAGCTCTAACTACAAGTTCATGATTGTATATATATACTAGGGTACTGGCATGTATAGGTTATGCGTAATTATCAACCAGCTGATCTCGCGCTAAGCTCGCAAAGCATGATTTCCAACGCAAATAGAAGTCCATACCAGAAATCCGTGCGGGCGTTGTTTTGCTAAAATTTTCTCGGCCGATGCAGCAAAGGGCGATGTTTTGTTCATATTTTGGTTGATCTTTCGTGATTTTTTGTACGAATCGACAAAAGAAATGAGATACAAGACATTAATGGGTTCCTGGTTCACCTGAAAGACAAATAAACTGGATACGAACTGAAATCGCGTTGATTTTATGCATATTTATTGTTGTCGGACTTGTATTCGGACATGAACAGGCTAGTGATAACTAAATATTGTTATAAAATTAGGCTTTTTTAAGATGCCGATTTCTGTTTTGTTAAGGTATTTCAATAAATATTTCTGTTCTATAATTCTTTTTTGGTTTGTGATGTTTTCAATCCAATTTTAAGAGTAAAAGCGTGGGCAAGTCATAAATCGAACATATACTGAGTTTTGGTGGGCTTTACAAACATCTGCCTATCGATAAATATTTCAAAATGACTTCCTCTTCAATCAATTTTCGCTGTGAATAGTGAATACCCTGAATGCAAGAAAGATTGCGGTTCCTACAATAATTTATTGCGCCATTATCGAGCCAACCAATAAAACAAGGCGGAGAATTTAGAAAATAAGAAAAAAACGAGTGCCATAGAGCTTGTTAGCGAAGTATTTCTGCCGAGTAATATTAGCGAAGGAACCCGTTCTGCAAGAGTAAAAGCTTTTATTAGTTGTCTAAGTGTGGAAGAAATGAAAGAGCATTTTCTGCAGCCTGTTGTTCACCATGTAAGTCCTTGGGAGTTTCTTTTGTGAAAGAATACTTCAAATGGCTGTGTAAACACTACGAAACTTCTGCGAGATTTTAATGCTTTAAAACAGTTGTTGTATGATAACTATCCTGAGATGAAACCAATTGTTGAAGAAAGTGTTGCTGTGAATTTGGTTGGAATGCCCACTTTAAACGATATGGTAAACTTTGTGCTGGATAATTTATTAACAAGACGTTACTGTGCAGTGCTATACTTGAAGCTAAGAATGGAAAGATATTCAGGGAAGGATTTATGCCACTTGTTTTTGAAAAGAACAAAGACAAATTTCTTGAATTTGCATCGGGAATTGTTGGTTCATTTTCTATTAGGCAAAAACAACTGCAAGATGTTCTGCGAAACACCTGGGGAAAGTATCTTTCAGCAGTGCTTGGTGTCAATGTCATTCCACCCAAAGCCGGCCCTTACTGTACAACGCCTAAAGAAACAAGAAACAAGAACTGACAGAGCTGATAGGATTGAATTTCGAAGTCCATGATGATGTGGTTGTTGCAAAGGTTAATGTTGCTAAGTATTTGGAATATCTACTCTCTCGCCCGACTATCAAGATATCTGAAATTGCACCCGAGACCAAAGTGCTTGTATACCAGTTCACTTATTTGGCTCCATGGTTAAAGTTGTCAAGGTATTTCACTGGCATCAACACCTCGCGTCTGAAAGTTGTTGAGTGCCACAACCTTAACCGACTAGTCATTACAGCTGGCGTATACCTTGGTCCAGACGATTACGACACAATCAAGAAATGCTTTGGAGGATTGTATGAAAAGTATGCTCAGTTGAAAGAAATTGATTCTTCCAAATGTGAAAGTCCCATCCAAGTGTAGTACAGAAGTTGCGCATATGGCAAACAGCGTCGGATTCACACAGGCAATAGTTCTTCAAGATCCACATTCCCAATCCCAGATGCTCTTGAACACATCACCTTGTTGGGTAACATGTTGGTTATCTCTACTGGCCCAGTCTGGACAGTTCAAGACACAAAGGAAGCAGAGAAGAATTCGATGAAAGAGAAAACCCCAGTTCCAAGATCAGAATTTGCAAAAAACATCTTAGGCGGGTAAATCTTACTAACTGTGATATGCAAGATTATTTTCCAGGAGCAATGCATCTTGCCATTAGATCTGTGGAAACGTTGTCAGTACAAATTGGCATGTGTGCAATTGGTAAGTTAGCACTAACAGCCAGGTAGCAGGGAAGTTTCTGCCATCACAATGGCAGACATTTTCAACAAATATTAGAAAAAAACATGCTCTGAATATTGTTTGCATCTGCGCAAGATACAAGTACTAGTTGAAAAAACCCCAGAAAAATTAAGTTGATATTTAGACTTTGAAATACAGTTGAAATTGGATATTGTCTTGAATTAATTACCTATTTCATGGATATAAACTTGAGTTTACAAAATAACAATATTCAGACAATGTTTTTCTCCTATACATGTGCCACTTTGAAAAACAAAGCATCTAAAGTGGGGAGGGGCTGTGAGACGATTTTTACATAAATTTTACAAATTCACCAGAAATTTAAATCCCCCCTGGTCAAAACATTTTCTGGACAAGCACGATTTCCTGACACAAAGTCCAATTCTCATAAACTTGTATGCAAAAATAGGTATCATTTCACAAAAATATCGACATTATTACCCAAATTTTGCTTGAAAATTACAACATTTACCTGATTTTAACTTCAAACGTCTCGGATTTTACATCTTGAGCTATTCAACCTCCAGTAAAAACTAACAATTGGTTCGTAGTTTACCCATAGATATCTTATATACACTAGATAGTGCATCTAATTATTCTGCAATTCAAAAATTGAAGCCGTGATTGCAGTCTCAGGTCGTTCCCATGGAATGAGAAGATTCGTATGTTTTCTATTTCTTAAACAGGGAACTTAAACATTAAGTTAACCCTATTCCAAATACGTTTTTAAACTATTAAAATGATGAAAGTTATTGTTGTTTAAGCGTTTATTAGCAAGTGGGAACGACCAACATGGCCGCCATCTATTCAAATGGGGGGTAACCGCTGGAATATTCTTGGCTTCACCCGCACACACACACACACTCACGCCGGTAGCGACGGCCCTGCTATTAAGGTTAATATTTTACCATTAAGTTACAATGCTCTACACTTGGTGGGGGATTGCTCATATTTAATAGCCTCATCACATACAAATGCTTGCCTGCATGTATCTATAGGGGTAAGCGGATCACAGGAAAAGTGGATAGATTCCTTGAAGCGTGTTGCATAGCAAACAAGGACAAAATCTTGCACCAGACCTTTCTGCTGCAAAAATTTTCTCTTCTTTATAAAATACTTAGTCACCCAATGCCTGCCTACTGGGAGTCTCCCTCACAGCCACTGTTTGTGTCGTCACTTTATTCCTCCTCACAAGTGGCTGCTCACAATTAGCCAATCCCAGCTTGGTTATCAAAACCCCAGAACAAGTTGCCCCAATTTTAAAAGCTTCCAACATAATTTTACAAGGAACACTGTGATTGGTTTAGCAGGAAAGGAATGTTGTGGGGAGGAATATAATAACGGAATATATTATTCACCAGTAAGCTGGTCTCCCTTGCAGTCATTCATAGGGCGGAATACAGTGACAACACAAAGAGCGGCTGCAAGAGAGTAGGTTACCTACTGGTAAACAATAAGATAAATCAACTATCCTTAACAGTAATTGTTTTTTCCACAACAGTTGCAGTATGATCAGATGTATTGCAAAAATACTGTCCTTTTGCTTCGATGTAAATATCCGTGTACCCAGTTGAATCTAGAGAAAGAAACCAAAAGTATAGCACTTTATAAACTTTTGATCAACATAGTGCAACTTTTTATAAGCCTTACCGGTACTCTAACTTAACATAAGGCTTAGATGCACACTCGTTTGCAACTTTTCTTACTCGCTAAGTCGATAAGCCTATCTCTGTATAACCAGGTGATCTCTTTTCCAACAGCACTCACAAATGTGCCTGCCTTAATTTAAATAGCTCCCAAGGGAACTTCATAGACGATTGAGATTTTAAGGTACCTGTAGTTGTCAATTATTAAAATTTGTTATAGCTACCTTTTGATAATGAGTTTCATGATGATAGCTGTGATTTGGTTAACTTTGATCAAAACAATGCTGGCCCATCAGAACAAGATGACCAATTGGTAATATTCATTTTTTTATCGATTCTGGATAATTCATAAATACGACAATAGGTTGATTACCCACTCCATATATTATTTCTCTAAAGCTTTCCAATCCAATGAATGAAGCCAATGAAGATGATGTTGTAGCACGGCTACCCATTGGACCAGATGAAATAGCATGCCTTGCAAATACCAAAGTTCCGGATGGTTGATATAACAAATGTACAGCACTGAGAGATGACCTTTGGGAATATGGCCAGAATAATCCAGTTCCAGCAATATCTGTCGATAAAGACTCTGCCGCTGAATATGTGCAGTCACTTGAGGGTCGAACTGGTGTGATATCTTGCCACTTGGAATCAGCCACTTTAAACAATGGAACAAAATCAGTTGTGTGGAATAGGGTTGATCCCCGTGTGTCGAAGGAAAAATTTGATGTCAAATTCTACATGAATTATCGGAATGAAAAAATGACTGGCTAACACCATCCATCTACAGGCAATGATAGCATAACAAAATACAGAATTGATGTTCCTTTCAACAAAGTCATGGGAATTGAAATAGCTGATGGAGTTCTGACAGCAGATGTGCTTGGTTCTCCCTGCATTGAAAAGAGATCAGAAAGTTCTCGTATCTGGCAAGTTACCTCTTCTAACGACAACATCACTAGCAGTAGATCTTCTCGTTTAAGTATTGGTTTTATCTATCACATCTCACCTGAAAATCTGCAGCAAAATCTGGAAAAAATACCATCACTTAAATCTCCCTTTCGCTCTGGCATTTGTAAAGATTACCCCGGTTTTGATCCCACCAAAGGTGAGAACCCTCATGATCGTCTCCCACTTTTACGCGATCCAACGCTCGTACGTGCTGCACAGCTTGCTATTTCGCAGCAGCTCCGAGATCATGCCCAAGAATATGATTCCAGCACACAACACATTGTTGAGACCTTCGGTGGTATAGAGAAGAGATTTCGCGATCTCCTGAAAAGAAGTCTGCTTAAAAAGTGTCTACCATCATCCAGAAACCACCACGAAGAGTGAAACGTGAGTAATAAGTAACTTAAAACATTAAATTCCTTTAAACGTATAATTTTTAGCTACGATTTTATCCGCCATATTTATTTTGCAAGCGCGCGCGGCCGCATGGTATGGATTTCTATTTGAGGAGTCCCTGCTGCGCGCTGATTGGTTAAAATTTTTCGCTGAGATCAGCTGGAAGATTTTGTTGGCATCTCACTCGATTCAATAATAGATGAAGGGTCTTGGAGATGGAAATTATCGAGTGGAAATTTATATACATTTTCCCATAACCTAAACATGGCATTACCCTAGTATATATACATAAACTTGTGGTTAGAGCTCGACAACTGGCCTCTGTAGCTCAGTTGGTTAGAGCGCTGCACCGGAATCGCAGGGCCGCAGGTTCAATTCCTGCCAGGGACCTGTAGTTGCATTTTTCGCAGCTGTTCCTGGTTAGGTCCAATAAATGAATTTAATTAAATTTCCACTCGATAATTTCCATCTACAAGACCCTTCAACTGTTATTCAATCGAGTGAGATGCCAACAAAATCTTAGTTTATGGTAAGCTTCTAGCCAATCAGTTACACTGCATGTTAGGTAGTGGTTACCAGTGGCAAAGAGCTGCGGTGTCAAGGATATACAACTACCTTAAAAATATAAGCAGAACTTCGACGTTTCGAAGGTTAGTTAATAGGTTTGTCACACCTACCTCACCAAGCCTAAGTTTCCGAGAATCAACAATACGACGTTCAACAAATCCAGAGGTAGATGTCCTATCAGCGGAAGTCCCTTCCACCAAACATTCAAGGCTATGTAGTGCTTCCGCTAGTTCGATTTTGGAATCAAACGAATTTACGTAAAATCCGCTCCACTTCGGAAAAAATGTTCGAAAGAAAGCTTTTCTGTCACTTATTGCAGGTGCAGATGAAAAAACCCATGATATTGCTCCCGGTTTGGGATATATAAATCCATCATACTTGTGAAAGATTTCTAAAACGAGGAAGGTTGGCAAACAGTGTATGATAATAAGATAATATAAAGGGGAGACTCTTTGTACGTTACATAACACGCGCTTAAGACTAATGAGTGTAATACTACTTGGTCATGACTGCATTTCACTTATAATTTTTCGTCTGTGCTTCTCAATCGCCAAGTAATGTTTAGTGCATAATTTTAATAAAATAATAATATACATAAAAATGTTACTCGACTGTAATAGGTTGATTTCAGTGCAGTTAATTTCAAACAGCAGTGCAAAATTCTGTAACACCAGTGCAAAAAATGTAAGAAATTGATCTGATTGGTGGAAAAATAATGAGATCTAAAATCAACCAATAAGCTTAATGCAGTTCTCAAGTAACGGTCACCAATTGCTTAAAAAACATGGCGGCCGCGCTACATAAAGGAAAAGTTGAGTTTTATGGTAGAAAATACTTTTATCTACTTTTAAAATGGAAAAGACTTTCCCTTATTAACAAGACTAACAAACTTACATAATTACGGGAACCACTCAGTATTTTAAGAAAATACAAAATAGCAGTAACTCCGAATAACATTTTGATTTTTAATCGACGTTCCGACTAGTTTGTAGTCATCCTTAGGATTAATAATAGTGTAAAATTACAGAAGTAGCTATTATAAAGCGAGAAAGGCGGGGCTTAAATGCCAGTTAATGAAATATGGGAAGTTCTTTGGAAGCTTTCGCACCATGGTTGAGATCAGGTTTTCGTCTGCGTATAGCAAGAGACTCCTTGAATAACAACAGAGACCAGTGGTCTGACCTATCAATTATTTTACAATTTCTAAATATTAGTTCAGTTAAATTAGTGTTTATAGGGTTAGTTGAGTCAGGTGAAAGTTCCGTAAGGGATTTTATGTGTTGAAAATGTTCGAATATGTAAAAATCAAAATGTTATTCGGAGTTACTGTTATTTTGTATTTTCTTAAAAACTTACATAATTGAGTGGAATTTTCAAGCCGTTAGCGTTGTATAATGTGATATAACACAGTAGGCAAACTTTGTCAGTGGACGGTTTGCTGAATCAACTTAAATTACAATTGTCTCGAACATTTTTAAGCATATTATTAATATGTAATAGGATGGTTTCTCGTGAAATTCGGATAAAACAAGCACTCGTAAAATAATGTATCACTTGTTGATCTTTGCTTTGATTGCCTTTAGCTTTGAATTTAATCTGTCTGAAACTCTATCGATTTATTCAATAGCATTTTGCAAGATTTAATAATTTAATAAACTTACTCTTTTCTGTAACATGTTTCCCTTCAATAACAAGGCATCGGTTGACAAAGCCTCCGAACCGTGATTGGTATTCAACAAGCTCTTCGTACATAGGTTTATTCTTCTTACTCAATATTACATATTTGTATGCACATCTATACGAGGCGAGCCGGAGTGGGATGCTGAACACACCGTGTACCAGCAACTGTTTGTCAATATCTCTAAACAAACGAAGTAAATTATGCTAAAACAATTATTATGGACACATGTTTTTTCTACTTTGCCATTCTGACAAAAATAATGGGGGAAAGCACGTTCAAACCCATAAAATGTTATCAAATAGTCGTTCCGTCGGGAAAAAGTACCGTGTGAAGTAAAATTTTACGCTCTACGCCAGTAGAGTATATGAACTTGCTTTTTTACAACTGTAGCTTACTATATATAGTGGTGTAGAACTGAAATGATAACAAGGGGGGGTCTTAATTATTGGAGGGCGGGGTGACAAGACGTGAGGGTCACCGGGCGTGGAGGGTGCAACCACTAAATTAGTGGGTACAACATGATAAAATGGAAAGGTCTATTATTATTTTTGATTCTAGTAATTCTTCAATTAGCATTTTTTGAAGAAAGTACTTTAATAACTTCAAATAAAAGATTCCGATATACCGAAACTATTTCATGGTATTATCATAATCAAGAACAGATTGCTAACATCATTGCCGCATCATTTCAACCCTGCAGTTGCAAAGAACTTTCCAGGTTATAAATATGCAATCGGCAAAAATATTGGGAGAATAGCCCCTTAAACCGGCATGAAATTTTTAACAAAGGAGGATCAGCCCCCCTGAGTTTTTAACAAGCCCCCCCCCCACCCCCACCCCCTTCTTCTACACCACTGACTATATATAACGAAGCAAAGAAGTTGAACAAAAAACTGCAATATTGCGTAAAATAGACTATATTAGCCAAATTAGTAATACGTCATTCAATTCAGGTGCGGGATTTCCCAGGAAAGACATGTAAAATAACTGTAATCTGATTTCATGGCGTTATATGTATTTGTATACATGCAGTCTTACTAGATTATTAGTAGTAGCATAGTTTCAGTGAAACTAAAGTGTGTGCACGCGTTACATAATTTGGTAGTAGTTTAAAAACAAGTATAACCAGATACGCATTGCAATGGAATCGGGGGTTCACACTTGAGTTTTATTCCTGATCGCTATAGCCTGGTTCACACAATGAAATAAGCATAAATAAGCACAAGCAGCGGAACCTTTGATGTGCATAAACGTAAGCATAAGAAGAACGCAACATTTGTTCTTCTTATGTTTATGCTTATGCACATCAAAGGTTCCGCTTGCTTATGCTTATGCTTATTTCATCGTGTGAACCAGGCTTATGATGGTTATAAGGGAGATTATCAACAATGGCTGCGTCATTTTGATGTGTGTGGTACAAGTGGCTGGAGTAACGCTGATCAGTTGAAAACGTTACCGGCTTTCCTTCACGGTCGTGCCGCCAAGCACTTCTATTCATTGACGACTGAGCAACAGGCTAGTTATACCACCTTTCTTATACAGGAGAATAACAAAGATGTGATTGGTGTGTGGGAAAAAATCTGTATTTTGAATGACAAAAATAAACAATTTTACTCAACAAACAATTGAATGGAAATAGTTTCGACCTGTAACCAAAAAAGAATTTCCAGCATGTATTGTTTGAAAGCCCATGTTTCCGACCGTCAACATTTAATTAAGCAGCCCATTTCTCGAAATGTGCCGGCCACCTCATTATACCTATCTAACTTAAGCTGTTGGTTCATTTTTGGTTCCTTTTAAGATACCCTTTATCAAAAGGAGTGGTATACAAAATAGAAGCTTTAAAACCTCCAGTCTGTGTTGTTTGAATATGTATCAGTACAAAAATAAATACCATCCGACAATTTTAAAATTATGATATTTGCTGTGTTGGTGTAATGTACTCAGGTGAATAAGATGCTTGTGATGTTACTCTGAGTGTATATCCACACCGGGCAGGCTTGAAAAATATGCCTGGCCACGGTGGGAATCGAACCTACGACCTTTGGAATACTAGCCCAATGCTCTGCCAACTGAGCTACGCGGTCAGGTCGGTTCGAGTATGTGATATTTCGGAACTGAGCCTAGTTTCTTCGATATCAATGTAATCCCGGAGCTGACGGCGTGCGAGGGTACTAATTCCCCCAGCTATTTACACCCGGGGAAACGAAAGCATTAGCGAAGTCGAAAGTTCATCAATTATCGCGGGCGTGGGTGACCAACGGTGTTGGGTGGGTGGTCATCCTCACTGATCTCAAAAATATGGCGGACTGTCATGAATAGTGGACACGGATTGGTCCAATTTAAAGTTTGCATTATAACGACTGCATGACGACAGCGAAATATCAAACATTTCTTGATTTGATGATTGATAAATATCTTGCAAATATATTTCATTTTTGCTCGCATTTTTGCACGATTTTGTAAATTTCAAAAGCTTTCTCATAAAGAAAGGGCGAAAGAATCGGCTAAAAGAAGGGAGCCGACGTTAACGAAGGTAAATTTGTTTTAAATATTGATTTTATAATGGATTTAAAACCCGACGGCCTTTGCGTATAAGAAACAACTAAACAAGACAGCATATAATTTTTAGTGTATCTTTAATATTGATTCCCTTTTTTATTATATAGAATTTTTTTAATAAAAAAGAAAGCAAAGTTATTTGCATGCGAAAATTTGAAATCATTTTATTGCAAACTCAAAGTTTATCGATAAAGCCATTTAATTAAAGTCAGTTTAGTTTTATAAAGAACACTTTATAAAAACGTTTTGCGAAGCGTTTGTGGTTGAATTTTACCTTAAATTGAAGCTTATGTTACGTATAATAACATACTTAACATATATACGTTGGGAAATTGATAATTTTGTAATTAAAAGTGATATTTTTAGGCTATTTTTCATTTGTAAGAATATTCTTAAAAAATTATCGTGTTACCATGACAACTACTTTAGATACTTCATGTTCGGAAAATACAATGGTTTTGTCAGCAAGGCGAGGGTTTCTGCATGCATGTATTTTCTAGTCTAATAGTCATGATATTTGCTGTGTTGGTGTAATGTACTCAGGTGAATAAGATGCTTGTCATGTTACTCTGAGTGTATATCCACACCGGGCAGGCTTGAAAAATATGCCTGGCCACGGTGGGAATCGAACCTACGACCTTTGGAATACTAGCCCAATGCTCCGCCAACTGAGATACGCGGTCAAGTCGGTTCGAGTATGTGATATTTCGGAACTGAGTCTAGTTCCTTCGATATCAATGTAATCTAATAGTCATGATATTTGCTGTGTTGGTGTAATGTACTCAGGTGAATAAGATGCTTGTAATGTTACTCTGAGTGTATATCCACACTGGGCAGGCTTGAAAAATATGCCTGGCCACGGTGGGAATCGAACCTACGTCCTTTGGAATACTAGCACAATGCTCTCCCAACTGAGCTACGCGGTCAGATCGGTTCGAGTATGCGGTATTTCGGAACTGAGTCTAGTTCCTTCGATATCAATGTAATCTAATTGTTATGATATTATGACTGCGCCCTGCGCACAAAAATTTTTCATCCAAAACAAAATTTAATCACACAGTCAAAATATGACCCCGCGTTGGCCTATATATGCGTGCACCAAATTTCTTGAAACTTTGACAGCTTGTGCAAGACAGTCAATATTTTCACTCTGTGTGATTAAATTTTGTTTCCGATGAAAATTTTTTGTGCGCAAGGTCTTACTCTAAAAACGCTACCATTTCAAATATTTTTAGTACTATAGATGTACCAGAGAATGTTAAAGTACATATATGTTATTTACCGGCTGCGAGGTCCGGATGAGAAAAACTGTGCCCAAGGTCTTGAAAACGGCCCGAGCCCGAAGGGCGAGGGACGTTTTCAAGACCGAGGGCCCAGTTTTTCTCATCCTGACCGACGCTGCCGGTAAATAACGTGTTTATTTTTTATCAGATTCAAAAATGAAATTCATTAAAATTCCAGTGTTGCTTGCGAACTAATTTGAGATCAGTGCAGTTGTGTATTTTTAAAGCGAGGCTGACAAAAATTGAAATGTTGAAAGATATACAGGGTGTATCAAAAAAAGCGCAATCCTCGACTGAAATGTAAATTACTAAACAAATAATAGACGAAAACGTTAAACTTTACATTCATTTTAAAGCGTAGCCATTCAGCTTTCTAACAGTGGGTTGTCTCTTAAATTTGACTCATTGGTTCGCGGGTAATAATACTTTACGTTATTGCGATTGGAGATTAAAAAAATTGAGATGGAATAACAAATCGTTCTCATGAAAATAACTGATTTTTTCATTAAAAAACAAAAAAATGTTGCATTTTATTAAATGGATTGTAACAATAAGTATAATTACGGCTTTTCTTGACTATTTTTAACTCAGTTTGAAACTTCAAATGCGATATAATTTTGGCTTGGACCATCTAAGCTGACTGACATCAACTTGCTATAATTTCTGTTTACATTACATCGCAATTCGATGACACTCTGGGTCAGACACCAGAATGTTTTGACGATTTTTAGCATTCGTTTACTGGATTTTCAAACAACCTGGTCTCTTTTAAAATACTTTTAATTTGTTCTTACGTGGTTTCCAGATGTAGTGACGACAACATTAAAGTTTAAAGAAGAAAATTCTAACATTTAAACCGACTAAACAATAACATAGTAAACTTGCATAATTAAACAGCAACTAAAAATGATAGGTTTTACTAAATCTTTTCCTGTGCAATTATTACTAGCATTGGAGACAAGGATATTAGTTTGTTTGAAAGAGAAAAGAACAGGCTTTGAAGTAAGCCTAAAAGCGTTTAACTAGAAATAGTATTTCGAAAGTTATTAAGCATAAAAGATGAATTGCGTTTATTTTGATACACCCTGTATAACACGACCGAATACGAAAACTCGAGAAAACTGGCAAGAAACAAACAAAAAGACGTATAGTTTCAGTAAATTTACATGCTTTTTTCATGAATATGGTAGCAGAAAAGCTTTGGAATAAAAAGTTTTAAGCCTGGCGTTTTGGCTTTGACAAATTCAGTTGCTTCTGACAACGACAGGTTCATGTTCAGATCCGATCAAAAACAGACGAAAAAGAATCTGTTTTGATTTAATCAACGTTTTTCTACTAAAAGTGACAATGAATATTAAAGGTATGCCATTTTATATTTTTGTATTTTTTCTAGTCGTTTCACGATAATATGCTTGAAAATTCTTTTTAAACACAGACTTTTAGTCTGTTTACAATATTTTATATCAGTGAAAAATGCCTAACACAAATGTTCGAGATTGTTTTCACTGCTGCAGTTAAACCTTTTATTAAATGGGAAAACATTTCTTTTACAATATCTGTTTAAGTTTAAGCTGTAATTCTTTCGCTTTTAAGTGGCCGAATACATGAGCATTTAAAAAAATATATAGTTTTCTCGGCGTATTAAGTTTTATACATGTCAAATAACTTTCCGAATTTCAGTCGCATTTCTCTAAAAAAATTATCAATTTTGGTGTACATCGTGCTTAGTATGAAGTCTTTAGGGCTTGATGCAATTCATTTTCGTATCTGACTATCGTTAGGCTACGTTTTTCAAACGTTTTGGGCAGATTTTTTCGTCTAAAAATTGTTTCACTCCTCATTTTTTTCCGCGAAAACCAGACCGGGCAGTTGCATTTCACAGCGGGCAGTTGCGTTTCACAGCGGGCCGGATGCAAAAAACCGGCCCGCTCTGAAAGGCTCCTCGGCCAATCAGATTGCTTCATTCTTACTGATAAAAAATAAATAGACTTACTGCAAGTTTTCGCAAATGTCGCGCGCAGCTGACTTTAGTGAACTTTTTCCAATTACTGTGTACTTTTTTCTGATATACACCCTGTTATAGTGAGATTTCAGGTGCATAAAAGAATGCAATAGATATAAAGTGTATAGCCACTGCCTTCACCTGGCATTAGGCATTGGTCCGATATCGCTTAAGCAGGAAAAGAGTGTTTCAATAACACTATCTGTGTAGGACGGCATATTGTGGCCCAATCAGATGGTATTATTTTTGTTGTACATTTATTATGAATATAAAGTTAACATGACTTGCTTGCTGTAACCATTTGCATGCAACATTGAGTCATTTTTATACAGCATGAGCCATGGTTTGGACAATGTTATGAATTAAAGGAACAAAAACAGGGCTAGCCAGCTCTGTTTGTCCAGTGGTGCAAAGGGAAGGGAAGAAAAAGAATGGGGGGGGGGGTGAAAACAAGGAGGAACATCTCCTTGGGCGAGGGGTTTGCATCAACTACATAGTTACATAATACGACACCAAACAAAATTCACAACTTACTTTTCTGTGCTGAAATGTACACCGTCTTTATTCCAACCATAAAAAACTGGTCCTTGTCCACGGATTACAATCTTATTGTCGTTATCCCAATCAAATTTATTAGATAATATCGCGTGGAAAACAACGATTATAGCTTTTTCATCAGCATTGCTTGTTTTATCATCATTTTTCGTTGTTTTATCATCAGAATTTCTAAATATATGGAGCAAAATAGTAATTCATTTAAGAGATCTGGCTTGTGACAAAACGAAGATTTCCCAGAGTTTCCTGGTACTTATTGATTTATTTTCAGTTTGCCTGCACTTTAGTGTTGAAGAGAATATATCAGTTATATAACAGAATACACCGGGTGGCGCACGTAAAACCTAAACGAGTTATTACACTTAAACAAGGTGCATTGCATTCAATAATGTCGAACTTAAATTTCGATATACGCCGTGTACATTTTCATACAATATTGACCGAGATAATTGCGTTTAAACTTGAGTAAAAATTTTTGGAAGTGTCTAGAATTAGCTAAAAACAGCCTATTAAACTAATTTGAAAACCGGTACCCGACTGTCATTTTATGGTAAGTATTCGTTTGAATGATATGAAGTTAAAAATGTTTATTGGATGGATATACTTTTTAATTTTTGTTTTACGATCTGTGGGAAGGCATTAAATGTTTTATTCTAATTGTTCAATGTCAATGAACCTGGGCAATCAAATTTACTGTTTCAAGTCGAAGAAACGTTATAAATATGTCTCATGCATTTAACCATGGATAATAAAATACATGGATAGGAAACTAGCTGACGTGACCTAATATTTTCAATGGGATGATGGCGCTGAAACCTAGTTGCAAACCAAATTCTCAACTAGGGATCCAAGGATAGTGCAATGTTTCTGAAAACTTGAAAAGTCAATACGGCAATATCAAATCTTTCAAACATATTGTTCATAGTTTTGCAATTCATTTGTCCAAATGATGCGGTTTGCGAATGCAAAACTGTTGCAAATTAATTTTGTTGTAAATTACCAGTAAGCTTGAAGTAGACGGAATTTTGAACTTTTAGATGAACTTTTGAACTTATTACAGCCATTTTCGCCGTCCAACCATACCACAAGTCGCAAAAATATCCGACCGTTTGTTTACGTTTGTGACGTAGCTATAACAGTAGCTGCCGGAAGCTACATTTTTAATGTCGTACATGGATGTCTCAATTAGTCTAGAACCTGTATATGAGTTTGTATGCGATTCATTTAGGACAGGTAATCTCAACTGTTTTAGGGTAAAATGACCATGGCGGTCAACATGGCATATGTGCCAAAACCTGAATCCAGGACGAAAGTCCTGAAAATGACCCCGCCCTGAAACGGCAGTGTCGACATAGCTCTAACTTCCGAAAAGGAAAAGCGATAGCCTTTCTGAAGTGCTTATAGTGTTTAGAAGGGTTGCTTTTAGGGGTGGTCATTGGAAGGAAAAATTTGTCGAAGTATAATATTTTACCAGAAAATGACTATGCACCACCCCAGGTAAATTGCTGATTATGCACAAAATAACTAATATGCCTGGCAGAAATTAAATATTCTTATTTCCTAAAAAAATTATCATGGGGTGAAAAACTATGCTTAATTTAATATAAATATTGTTGATTTCATAAGGATTGTCATTGTTTTCTTTAAATATAATACATTTTATTTCACTTACCCCCCACGAAAACACGATTTCAGCCATATTTTGCCGTCTTGTTTGCTTTTTATCGCCGAATCTCGCAAATATCATCCAGTTATTGTACTTTTACATAATCATAAATGGCTGAAGAAGATTTCAAAGAAGGTTTCATCCACTTTTGTAACAGTGCAGTGTATTTTACCTTCGATATTGTGTCCTTCGATATTCCGCCAAATTGCTGCCATTTTAATGGCTCGCCGCTTCTCTGTCTGATAAATGCAACTTCTTCGTTTCCATATGTATTTAGATTACAGTATCCAAGAGTACTTCATTGTAGAATA